CCCTGTCCCTATCTGTCCCTTACCTTTCCCTGACCCTGCGTGTGTGACTCTGACCCTGTGACTATGACCCTGACCCTGTCCCTGCCCACCCGTGCCCCTACCTGACTCTGACCCTGTTTTTACCTGACTCTGCCCTTACCTGTCCCTGATCCTGTCCTTGACCCTGCCTGCTTGCCCCTGACCCTGTGCCTGTCCCCTACCCGTCCCTGCGTGTGTGACCCTGTCCCTGCCTTTCCCCGTGTGTCCCCACCCCAGGATGGCCGGGGGGAGCTGATCTTCTACGAGCGCCCCGACACCGCCGGCCCCAAACTCTCCAGCTTCACCATCACCCCCACGGCCGACCCCGATGGGCTGGAGGTGAGAGAGGGGTGGGGGCCCAGGGCTGTCCTGGGTGCTGTGAGGTGTCTGGCAGTGCGGGGTGCCCTGGGTGCTGTGTGGGGTGTCTGGTGATCTGGGGTGCCCTGGGCCTTGAGGGGTGGCTGGTGACATGGGATGGCTGGTGGTCTGGGGTGCCCTGGTGCTGTGGGGTGGCTGGTGACGTGGGATGTCCGGTGGTGTGGATGCCCTGGGTGCTTTGTGGCGTGCCCTGGGTGCTGTGTGGGGTGTCTGGTGATCTGGGGTGCCCTGAGTGCTGTATGGGGTGGCTGGTGACACAGGGTGCCTGTTGCTGTGTGGTACCCTGGGTGCTGTGTGGGGTGTCTGGTGATCTGGGGTGCCCCAGTGCTGTGGGGTGGCTGGTGACGTGGGATGTCCAGTGGTGTGGATGCCCTGGGTGCTGTGGGGTGCCCTGGGTGCTGTGTGGGGTGCCTGGTGACACAGGGTGCCTGCTGCTGTGGGGTGCCCCGGTACCAGGGGATGCCCGGCACAGGCCCAGCTCCCCCCTGCCCCTCAGGCAGTGCTGGCACAGGCGCTGGGCGTGCTGGGCATCGTGAGGAAGGAGCGGCTCCTCTACCTCGTGGGGCAGACCCGGGTTCACCTGGACCGCGTGGAGGGGCTGGGCGACTTCCTGGAGCTGGAGGTGAGGGGCTGGGGCCGGGGGGGCTCTGCCAGGGGGGCACAGGGCACCCCGGGGTGCCCAGGCTCTCACCCTGTGCCCGCAGGTGGTGCTGAGGCCGGAGCAGAGCGTGCAGGACGGGGAGCGCGTGGCCCGGGAGCTGCTGCGGGAACTGGGGGTCGGGGAGCACGACCTGATCTCGGGGGCTTACCTGGACCTGCTGCTGGCCAAGGGGCAGCCGGGCACGGGGGCAGAGCCCCCCCAGTGCCACCCCCAGGCCGGGCAGGGACAGCAGAGCTGAGGGCAGCGGGGACACGGCTGTGCCACAGGCACCCTGTGCCAACCCCACAGGCATCCTGTACCCCCCTATGGGCACCCTGTGCCTGCCCCAGACACCCTGTGCCCAGTCTAGACATCCTGTACACTGCTATACGCACCTTGTACCCACCCTACAGACATCCTGTGCCCACCCCAAACATCCTGTACCCCCCTATGGGCACCCTGTGCCTGCCCCAGACACACTGTACCCGCCCCAGACACCCTGTGCCCACCCCACAGGCATCCTGTACCCCCCTACGGGCACCATGTGCCTGCCCTGGACACCCTGTACTTACCCCAGACACCCTGTGCCCACCCCACAGGCATCCTGTACCCCCCTAGGGGCACCCTGTACCCGCCCCAGACACACTGTACCTGCCCTAGACACCCTGTGCCCACCCCAGACATCCTGTACACCCCTGTGGGCACCTTGTACCCACCATACAGACATCCTGTCCCCACCCCAGACATCCTGCACCCACCCTGGACATCCTGTGCCCACCCCAAGGACACCCTGTAACCCCCCATGGGAACCCTGTACCCCTCCCCATGGGCACCCCCTGCCCCATACCCACCCCATGGGCACTCTCTACCCTCCCATGGACACCCCCTGCCCCATACCCACCCCATGGGCACTCTCTACCCTCTCATAGACACCTCCTGCCCCATACCCACCCCATGGGCACTCTCTACCCTCCCATGGACACCCCCTGCCCCATACCCACCCTACAGACACCCCGTGCCCACCCCATGGACACTCAGTACTCCTCCTCTGACACCCCTTGCCCCATACATCCCCTACAGACATCCTGTACCCCTGCAGACACCCCGTGCCCACCCCATGGACACCCCGTACCCCCCCTCCCGTGCCACCCCCTCCCTTGGCTGCTCAATAAACTCTGGGACCATCCCTGTCTGTTCCTGGCTCTGGCTGCTCTGGGGACACCAGTGCCCAGCTCAGGGCACCCAGGGCTGCCTCTGGCATCCCCCGTGGGGTTGGACACACCCCTGGGGGGCTCCCGTGGGGGGCAGGAGGGGAGGGGGTGGGCAGTGCTCAGCCCTGAGCCCGGATTATGTCCAAAAGCAGCCGGAGCCGCGGGATGTGCTGGGATTGGAGCCCAGCGGGGCAGGGGGGGCTGGGGGGAGGCAGATGGGTCAGAGGGGGGGCTGAAGGGGGCTGGAGGCATCTGTGCTGCTGTGCCAGCCGTGCCAGCCTGAGCCTCAGCCGAGCTGGGGGGGCTGGAGGAGGCTGGGCTGAGCCATTCCAGGAGGGCTCAGCCCCACTGTGGAACCACGGAGTTGTTTGGGTTGGAAAATCCCTCGGAGCCCGTCGAGTCCAACCATCCCCAGCACTGCCAGGGCCACCCCTGACCCACGTCCCCAAGTGCCACATCCACAGGGCTTGGAAATCCCTCCAGGGATGAGGACTCCATCCCTGCCCTGGGCAGCTGTGCCAGGGCTGGAAAACCCTTTCCAGAAAGGAATTTTTCCAAATTTCCCCAATGTGTTTCTGTACTTCTGGTTGCACTGGGGAGGCCCCCCTGGAATCCCGGGGGCAGTTCTGGGCCCCCCAAACAGGAGAGACCTGGAGGGGCTGGAGCGTGTGCAGGGAAGGGAAGGGAGCTGGGAAGGGTCTGGAGCAGCAGGAGGGGCTGAGGGAGCTGGGGGGGCTCATCCTGGAGCAAAGGAGGCTCAGGGGGGACCTTGTGGCTCTGCAAGTCCCTGACAGGAGGGGGGAGCCGGGGGGGGTCGGGCTCTGCTGCCAGGGAACAAGGGACAGGCCAAGGGGAAACGGCCTCAAGCTGGGCCAGGGGAGGGTGAGGTTGGGGCTGAGGAGGAATTTGTTGGTGGAAAGGGTGGTGAGGCCTTGGCAGGGGCTGCCCAGGGAGGTTTGGAGTGCCCATCCCTGGAGGTGTCCCAGGAAGGCCTGGCCGTGGCACTCAGTGCTCTGGGCTGGGGGACAAGGTGGGGATGGGGCCCAGGGTGGATCCATGGGCTGGGAGGGCTTTTCCAGCCTCTGGGATCCTGTGTTTGATCTCAGAATTGTCTCAGGTTCTTTAATCAGCTCAAAAAAAAAACCAACCAAAGAGGCTGCCAAAGGTTATGGAATCACAGAACATCCAGAGTTGGACCAACAAAGAACATCGAGTCCAATTTAGCTTTTGAAATGTTTTAATTCACTTGTAGTTGGGGGGGGGGGGATTTTGTGACAGTGACAAAACCGCATTTTCTACGTGAGTTTTTGAGTTTATCCCTCGTGTTGGGGAGATCCTGCTCGGTCTCTAAGGAGTGTTTTCCCCCGGTGGGAGCTCCTGGAGCCCAAACATCCCGGCCGGATTGGAGCCATGTGCTTGGTGTTCATCCCAAACCCCAAAGGGTTGAAGACTGGAAATGTGAACGTTGGGATGAATGGGAATTTCGGGGCTGGGAGGAGGCAGGGTCAGTGGGGGGCTGGGGGTGCCCTGGAGACCTCTGTGCCCCCCCCGGGCTTTTTGGTGGCAGAAACCTCGCCCTCATGGGGGTCCTGCTTTGGGGGGGCTGGGGAGGCACCGAGGGACCCCCCCCAGCCCCAGGGGCAGCGTGGGGGTCCCATTTCACCCCCCCCCCGTGACCTCCACCCTCTCTACCTGCCTCGTTGCTCTGTACCCCCAAAGCGGGACCCTCCATGGGGGCCCCTCCCGCCCCCTTGCCCGACCCCGGGCACAGGGCAGCGGCCAGTCCCGTGTCAGCACCGCGGACAGCTCCGGCACCGCTCCCTGCCCCTCTTACCGTCCCCAGAGACCCCCGAACCTCCCTAGAGACCCTCCGACCCCCTATAGGCCCCCTGTCCCCCTACAGAGCTCTCGACCCCCTATAGAGCCCCGACCAGCCCCTGCTCAGCCCTGCTGACAGCTCCCCCCCTCCCTGCCTGGCTCCTGTCCCCTCTTACCCCCTCCCCAGGGACTCCCTGACACCCCCTCTAGACTTCCGACCCCCCTAGAGACCCCTCGACCCCCCTATAGAGTTTCTGCCCCCCCACAGACCCCCGGCCTGCCTATGGGCACTCGGAACCCCTCCACAGCCCCTCTCGTCGTCCCCTCCCGCACTCAGCACCGCGGACAGCTCCGCTCCCCCTCCCCACACGGCTCCGACCCCTTCTTATCGCCCCCACAGACCCCCTGACCCCCCTAGAGACACCTCTACCCCTCTACAGACCCCCCCACAGACCCCCTGACCCCCCTATGGACACCTCTACCCCTCTATAGACCCCCCCTACAGACCCCCTGACCCCCCTATAGACCCCTCGACCCCCCTATGGACACCTCTACCCCTCTATAGACCCCCCCCACAGACCCCCTGACCCCCTATGGGCCCCTGCCCTCCCTACAGCCCCCCTGTCCCCCTGTGCATCCCCTGTGCCCCTGTACAGTGCTCAGCACCTCGGACAGCTCCGCCTCCCCTCCTTCCCGCACCCTACAGACCCTCCGACCCACCTGTAGACCCCCGGCACCACCAGAGACCCCCTGACCCCCACCCAGACTCTCCGATCCTCCTACAGACTCTCCTACCCCCCTATAGATCTCCTGCCCCTCCCTATAGATCCCCTGCCCTGTCCTACCCCCACACCGCCCCTGCCCCTCCCTGCACAGCCCCCCGAATGTCCCCTATACACCCCCCACATGTTCCCATAAGAACCCCCCCCTTACAGAGACCCCCGTACCCTGTGCAGCCTCTCCCTCCTCCCGCCCCCCTATAGAGCCCCACCTCCCTCCATAGGGCCCCCCCCATACCTTCCTACCCCCCCTCTATACGGTCACCCCCCTTTCCTCCCTATACAGCCCCTCCGACCCCTCCTCACCACCCCCCCCATGCAGCCCCCTGTCCCACTCACCCTCCATCCCCTCCCTAGAGAGATCCCGGCCCCCCCTCGCCGCTCCCCTCCCTACATCACCCCCTCCCCTCCTTAG